ATCCCTTTAAAACAGCCTGTAAGCAATTGTAAAACACAAAGTAGGTAGCCAGTACTTTAAAGAACTATGGAAAATTGTTTTCTAGGGTGTATTTTGGAAGGTGGTGTACTGTGAAGAAGCAAGAACAGAGTTGCTACACATCCAAATCTAACAGAGTCCCTCCGGCAGTCTTATGGACTCAGATACTTCTTTTGCCTTAGCATCCACCCTCAATAGTGGGCTGTGTGGCTGCTTATTCAGGGATTATGTTTTTATTCTTTCTTTTCCTCCTTCATTTTAAATAAAAGTTTCAGAGGCTAGGGCTTGCTTTTCTTAATGGAAAAAAATGCCTCATGGGTGTTTCTGGGATGCTTTCACATTTGGTGACTGAATGTGTAAAAACATATAAAACTACAAAAAATATTTTTAAATATAAATCTTTACCCTGATGCATAGAGACAAATTCAAGTTCTCACTAGTACAGTAATTGCAATAAACTACAAACTCATTAACAATAGCCTGAAGAGATATTATAATTAAGCCTATTTATTCTTAGAGATTGTGCTCAGTGAGGCAATAAAATGAGATATTAAAGTAACATAGAAAATAATACAAGACATTAATGTAGGGCAGTATTATGCCCAGGGAAACTCAAGAAAATAAGTTGGTTGTTTTGTAGTTTCAGCTTCAATATCTTCTGCCAGTCTTACTTTCAATTCTTTCCCCTTCTCCTGGCTTTCTTGCCTAATCTTCTCTATCCTTCTATCTTCATTCTCAGACTTCCCTTCTCTAGTACCTGAAACCAACTCCTCTTCTGTCATCAAGATTACCCTTCCTGATTCATGTACCTTGCATCCATTCTATCCACTTGACTTCCCAGTCTGGTTATATTATTTCTTTTGGATGGATTGATGAATCTTCAGTTTGAAGGACCCACACAGGTCAGGCTATGCCATCTTTTTTCTCAACATCTTTAACAGATTCAACCAGATAAATAAACTACTACACACTGAGCTAGTCCGTGGTTACAACCTTTGGTATTTCCCCTTCTTCCTGATTCCTCTGAACCTAAAGTCTTTTGACTGATGTTAGTGGTTAGAAGTATCACCAACTTTTCTGTTCCTTTTCCTGAATAAAGTTGTTAAACAAATGGCCCAGGGAAGTTGGAAGAACAAGTTGCCCAGGGAAGCTATGGATGCCCCATCACTGGAAGTGCTCAAGGTCAGGTTGGATGGAGCTTTAAGCAACCTGATATAGTGAAAGATGCCCATGACCATGGCAGGGGGGATTGGACTAGATGATCTTTAAAAGGTCCCATCCAACCCTTACCATACTGTGTCTCTATGTTTCTGTGTACCTTATGGACTGAAGGTAGATAAGACAGCAAGTATTTGGTGGAAAAAAAGGTAGTGAAAAGTTCCCATCTGCATATGTGACTAAGAGGCTCTGAGAGAATTTTTGCCCCAGAATGGATCTCTCCACATCACACATGGGGCAGTTAGCACACTCTGCTACATCCCGGACTTGCAGCTTCAATTCTGGGCTGTTTAAAATTAATCCCATCTACAACGGAAAACATTACGGCTTTCAGGTTATCCTGCCTCCAGTTTTCTGAACTTCTCTAGTGAAGCAACAAGGTTTTACAGCAGTACTGTTGCAGTTACCTTAATAAAATAGCTTGACTCCTAGAATATTATTTTGATTTTAGTTTAGAATATGACTTTGATTTTAAAATAGAGTTATAGCAGCTCTGAGAGTATAAAGCACACTAAAGCCCTAAGGATTAGGTAGCTAGTATGGTGTGTGCCTTGAACACTATAAGAATCATTATGGACTCTGAATCAAACCAATGGGTACTGGTTATGGATCTTGATTTGAAACAATAGGTACCAGAAGAGACTGGTTTTGGTTGGGAAGATCAGACAAAGAAGAAATGGGCATTGGCCAAAGAAGAAATGAGCATCGGCCAAAGATGAATTGAGCACGCGCAAGAATAAAGTTCAATCAGTGAACACAGTGAGGAAGACTATCGATGACCACCAGAGGACCCCCATCCAACATAACCACGCATGCGTTAGAGACATCTACTTATGATAATGATTTCCTGGAAATAATATGAATATGCTAATCATTACCCTCCCCTCATTCTATTCAAATCAATCTGTAAAGATAACAAATGATTTCTGTAGAATAGGAATAGAGGTAAGGTAAGGTAACTGAAAGCCAATCATTATTAAGGTCAAACTAAACTTTATGAATTTTGTTGATCTTATGTAACCATGACTCTGCTGAAAAAGTGTATAAATATGTTGTGCTTTGTACCTGTCGATGAACACGTCTTTGGCGGAGTTATCCCCCGTGTTCCCCAGCGCTGGAATAAAGAGGTGCCTGCTTATCTGCTTGGTGTAGATAAGTTCTATTTGCAATTGCGACCTCTAACACTACAGTGTTCTCATGTTTTCAAAACACATTTGTGCTTTTGATGGTTACCAAAACTACTACTAACCTTTGGCAGACAGTCTTTCATATGAATGAGATTTTCTTTCATATTGCTTTAATCCACAAATCAAACCGGTCACTGGTAGTACCATCAGTGACCATTTGAGGTAGAAAAGCTTGTTAGACAACTTTATTTCTAAAATGAAGTAGTCTCTTTGTAAGTGACAACTTTTCCATGTGAGTTTTCAAGATGGTCAGTGACATTAACATTGCTACATCGTATTTTTCTAATGCTCTTTTTTCCATTTAATTGCAGAATGATGGCAATTTTTGTGCAGTCTATGATGCATACATGTTTTTGGAAGGTTGAAGCTGGAATATCAATCTATGAAGCAAAACTTCGCCCTACCAAATTGTCGCAGAGGAATTTGTTAATCACACCATGTAGAAGATTAAAGTCCCAATTCAATTTCACTTTAAGACAGATGTTAAGAAAATAATTTACTGAAATGTATCTTGATTACTAACTGTCTTGAATGTATAAGAAATGCTTGCAACAACATAACATCAAACAGACATCAATGCACTTAATAATTCCACATTTCTTTGAATCATACATCTATTTAAATCTAAGAGGTATCTAAGATAATTGTCATTAAACATTTTTATGTGTGACAGCTCAAAGGTATGTCCAACACTGTACTCTTTTCAATGGGCTTGATCAGTGTTACATTTGGAAAAGCTAATTCATTGTATAGAGAAGAGAAAGAGTCTGTCACAGAGTAAAAATCCAGAGATCCTCTGACTAATGTGTAGACTCAAGAGAGCAGGCAGAGCTGTCATCTGTGACTTAAAGATAAGAAGGGAATCAGTTGATAAGGATTACTTGTGACCTCTTGCCCCACCTCCCCACCCCCCAGCACCGTTCCTGCTTCTGTGGTTAGACAAAGTTTACAGGGAAACTTTTTGTATTCACTTTTGGTAGCTGATAAAGGTGTATTCAAAGAAACTTATGTGCTAGCAGGAAAAAACAACTGCATGTATACAGCACCATATTCTTGTATATGTGAATATGTCACGTAGTCAGCTCATAAAATCCCCAAAGATCTACAGGCTGTATATTCAGTAAAGACATTGGACTGCACACTGCCGGTATACAGTCCTCTCCAAGGTAGACCCTTTTCAGGGCTTAAATGCATATACAGACATTACACTGTCCTAGGCACCTAGCCTGAAGAATATCCAATTGGTAGTGTGGAGAATGTAAGATATGCTTCCCTGGTTTATTGCTGCCAGATGAAATAAGCTCTGTCCTTACTCTAGTAGACGCAAGAAACGCTGCTTGAAAAGGTACATAACTACAGTGTCTGAATTGCTCAGCTTCAGCTAATGACCACAGTCAAACAGATTTTCCTGAAGTGTGGATTATACAATTTTGGATAAAATACCCAGAGCTTATCCCAGAGCACAAAAGCAGAGCAAGCATCTGTGTGAAATAAATACACATTCTCTCCAAAGAGAGACATGAATTTTGGAATAAATAAAAGTTTTAGTAACTTGATTCTCTCCATAACAGTTCAATTTTCCTAGTGAATTATTTAACAAACTCCTTTTGCAGCAGAATGTTACTCAGAAGCATAATCTTTCAATGGAAACCAACAGCAGTGTCTGTTAGACCCAGTATATAATGTTGTTACTGTCTGTAATGACTGAGAAAAGGGAACATCACCTCCATGCCAGATCTTGCAATACAGCTTTCTCAGCATCACAGCACCACTAAAACATGTACTAATTCAAAGACCCGTGCTCTTCACTGAGAAAGTGATGTGCATTTAATTTCCTGAAACATCCTATGCACACCTATAATGAGGTTGTGATCCAAATACTTTTCAAGATGTGTTCTGATTAGTTTACTAGGTCTGGAAAAGTGTCCATATATACACATTCAAAGTATTTCTAGACTGTGTGAGACAATCCGTATTTGGATTTGGACTTTAGGAGAGAGACCAAAGATTTGGTAATCTCTGAACAATTGAGCAGATATCTAATTATTTTCAGACTAGTGAACCAATACATCATATTCCCCTGAGAGACTAGCAAGGTGAGGAGGTAAACAGTTCTGTCCTGGTATTCTGCTTGTTTTAGTCATTTTGGAAGCTAACACCAAATTTCTTGTCACCATCTCTCTCATCTCCCAGTTACCACTTAAGAAGGTCTGAACTCAATTTCAGCCCACTACTCAGTTTTTAATGTCTCAGGGAAGTGATCCTGGTTCCCAGTCCTCAAAGCAAAGAAACTTCCCTCCCAAATCTTTCCAATATGCATCCTTAAGGCAGCAAAGGCACACAGGCTGGCCATCACCTGAGAAGCAACGAACAACTGCAAATATAATCAGTAATAAATGAATTCTTTTATGCCTCTTATTGCACAAGAAAAAAGAATCAGAAGTGGATTTGTGTTCAGCCCTTGAGTGGACTCTTGGATGCAGATGAGAAAGAGCAAAAAGAAAGTCAGCACATTGTCTTTTCTTTTGCAGTAGGAGGAGCTCTAAGACCCATAACCCACAGTATCTTGCAATAGGCAGAGGCGTCCAGGCCCCAGAGGAGCAGGTTAAAACAGGCTAGTAGGAGTGAGGATACTAGATGAAAACAGGCATGTTGGGTGGGCAGGATAGGAAGGCTGTTGGAGAGAAAAGAAGCAGCAAATGGTTGCGAAGAGGCTGGGGGAAATAAAGAATCACATACTCCTGTTCAAAAAGATTTCAGTGAAACTCCGAGACACAGAGACACATGGGTCACAGGGAGAGGCATAAGAGAAAAAAAAAATACACTTTTATGAGAAGTAAAAGTGTTAGGAAGAGAAGGTGGGCGGAGAATTGCAGAAATATACCAATTTCTCTCCCTCCCATTTTCTCTAAGGGTGTTTTTCTCAGAGCTTTTCCTATCTTTTTCTCCTCCCCACAGCAATCAGCCAAGCTGGAATGAAGAGATTGTCTTCGAACCTATGCGTGTATTTTGGCACAGAAGACTGAGAGTAAACAAGTAAAGAGGGTTGACAACTGTGGCAACCACAGGAGCAAAACCTGCTCAGTGACAAGGATGAGGACTCTTCCAGAGGTAAAGCAATGGGTCTGTCTTGAACTGTGCTGAGATACCTTTGTGGCACACCTGTCTTTTTCTTCCCGTCACAGCTGAACTGCTTATTACCGTAGGGAACTAGAGCAGTTTTGACAGCTTTATATCCAGAAGGGGCTTGTTTAGGTCTCAGAATTAATGATGTGGGCTGTGGTGTGAGCATCTGAGGGTTCTTACCCTTCCTGTTAGTCATCCTAATGGCCATTCTGAGGCTGTATTCAGATCTGTTTGAAGCACTGACCAATGAGTAGTAGTAATAAAAATAATAATCTGATTGTTTGCATCTGTCATTGTATCCCCCTTTTTTCAACAAATCATTTTAAGAAAGTACTTGTGCAGAAACATGCAGCTTTTTTTCTCCACAAATAATTGTGGGTAAACGTGGCATAGTTTTCTGGATGTGAGAATGACATGTTAAGTCTAATTGCTCACCATGTAGTGCAGTGTCCTTTTCCTGATTTAATGTCTTATATAAATAACTGGTAAAGTGTTAATTGTATATTTACAGACAAATTGCACTGCTCCAAACTGTTAGCTCAGGCTTGCTAAAATACACAAAACATTCAAGGACAATAGAGATAAGTAAAGTTTTCCATGTAACTAAATAATATTAAAAAAATAAATGTGTGTGTTTTGTTATGTTGAGAGCTGTTCAGTGTTGCAAGAGCTGTCGCTGTAATGCAAACGGTCACTTTATATTTTTATATTATTACATATTTGTCTTCATATATTTATCTTGTCTGCATTTTTCTGGCTGAAGAATTTTCAGAAATATTTGGTTTGTATATTCATTCTCATATTTCTGTGTAATAAAAATCAGACAACAATCATAATTTTAAATAGTTATTGGCCATGGTTATGCTTCAAACTTTTCGTAGTCTGGTATATAATTCAGTAAACTTTCTGTTTAATTTCTCATGTTAGCAGGTACTATATTTTGAACACAGGCTAAAATATTATTTCACAAATAGTGTTTAATATGCTCAATTTATGTGTTTAAGTGATTCACTGACAAAAGATAAATTTAAGAAAATTGTTAAGTTTTTGAGAGTATTGGGGCATTAGTCTGAAAACTTGTCATCCACATGACTAATGTGATAAACACAATCTGGGTAACAGTCAATGTCTGTAATTCATTAATAATGTACTGACTAGAAAAATAATACCCCTAAATTGTCTGGTAAATAGTTATGAAAAATAACTGCAATTCTGCCTGCCTTTGATTTCTTTTTATTTTCATAAAAGTTAGATGATGTTTCTGCAACAGCACTAAACACTGGGAAAACACAAGGTGAGGAAGAATTATGCAGAGGAACTTCAACCTCCCTGCAGAATTCAAGAATGGCTTACAAACAAAAAGAAGGAGATGCTGAAGGAAAAGCAGACTCTTTGGCTGATTTAGTTACATCAAACAGTTCTTGCTTTAGTGCTAACAGTGGCTGTCAAGATTCTGCTTGCCCAAGTCATGCTCGCATTTGAATGGGATGATTCATGTAGTACATAAATTCAAAATAATTAATATTATAATTAAGAACAAGTAAAAGTCAGCTTTTAGTGATTTTACAGGCATTTGATCTCACTTAGCTACAACAAAGCCATTTAAATTTGAGCATTTGCACGTTCTTAAGAGAAAAGCATGAAAGAAGTGAAACTGTACTGGAAATTGCATTCATCTATAATTTCATGCAAATGCTGATCATTCCCCTCTCTTACTCATAAGTGAGGCCCATATAGAAGATCTCTGCCAGAGATTAAAGGTTCTTTATCCTTTTCCACAGGCTTGTTCAAACTATTCACTTGTATCTTTATATGGAGCATGCTGGATGAGGCAGCTAAGCCTCAAAACATACCACAATAAAGTGCTTCTGCTTCCTGCAAGTTAAGTAATGCTCCTGCACCCTGTGAACTGGAAGTTTTTATATCCCACCTCCAGTCCCATCTAGTTAAATCTGTACTTCCTTGACCAAGGATTAGGAAGGGCTCTGTATTTCAGTGCCTGTGAACACCACTTAGTCCATTTGTGGCATAAAAGAGAAGTTCATACTAGATAAAGAATCTGACAGAGATATTGCCAAGGTCAGTATCTTTATAAGAGTACTGAAAGAGCAGGTATTTGTCTTTCTAGATTTCTTTAAGCTGTTGTCATGAAAAAGATATGAGGGACAACTAAGTATGACTGCCCTCCTCTTTTTTTTTTCTGTTTATGTAGGTCCACAAGTTCTCTCAAATCCAGCCCCAGTAACAGAGGCAAGATTAGAAAGACATTCCTTATGGAAGGTGAAGTGTTTGAAGAACACTTTTTATCCTAATGGCTCACATAACACAGACCTTAATCCAGTTTCTAAGTAGAGGTACACAACCAGTTTCCACTCCTCTGTCTTTTCTTTTGGGGTATGCTATTCTTTTGGGGTATGCTGTTCTCAGTCAGGTACTTCTCCAGTTGTTTCAAATTGGAGTTATGAGGAGGAGAGTCTAGATCTCTTACAGATTTTAAAAAATCTATTAATAGATGCATTTTCTATTTCAAAATGTATGTAATATATAGGCCAAATATAGACCTACTGATAATCAGAAAGCAGAAATTGCAGTGACAGTCTTGAAATACCAATTTGTTGTTAGTATCTCCACAGCCATGCCATTTAATACTTGAAAGAGAGAAACAGATGTGCTCTGATAACATGACACCAAAGAATTGCAAAATTATAAATTTTTCATAGTTGGAATAGGCCAGATTTTCAACGTGAAAAACAAAAAGTCTATTGCAACAGAGAAGTCAGGAGCATTGTGAATGTAAATCATTCACGTGTATGTACTTGCTCTCCGTTTAATTATTCTGTATCCTGCCTAAAGAAGTCAGGAGAATAGGATTTTAAAGCAGTTAGTTATTTAACTATTGTTAGATGTTTCCATGAGTCGAGATGACATATGCTTTCGAGAGGCTTCTATTAATGACTGAGTAAAATGCATATTTGAAAGATATAAAATGATGAGGTCTGTTTTTCTATTTCTTTCTGTGTTTTCTGTTCTATTAATGTTTTTGCACAGGAATTGTACATAGTATGTTAGGCAAGAGGATTAACAACAGACTCATTAATTCGCTTAGCCTTTCCTCAGGTGAAGGGGTAAATGCTGTGAAGTAGTTAATTCTTGTATGATTTTGCTTCATTTATTGTGATTTTTGTGAAGATTTCTCTTTTTGTGAAGTTTTCTCTTTTTGTGGCAAAAAAAGAGAGATACTGATCATGGTGACAAATGCAGTTTAGTGGCTGCATGTAAGGCAACAGCAAGGGCAGACAAGGGAAGACAATCTAGAACCTGAGAGTCATGACAAGGCAGGCAAGAAGTAATGACTTTACCAGCAAGGGGTGCACCCCCACCGTGTGGAAATGAGGCACGGTGACAGCAGCCAGAGTCAACTAAGAGTGTAGATTGCCAGGCAGGTCCATTGTGAGGAGGCAGGTCTAAGGTCAAACCTGCAGAATCCAGTCTGTAGGTTAAGATCAGGTTCCAGATCAAAGGGGTAATGGCCCGCCATAGGCACGGCTGCTGCTGCATCATAGCTCAGATGGGTATCACACATGAGAGCTGCAAAAAGGAGCTCTCAAGTGAAGAAGTGGGCACCTCCACCACAGCTGCTTCTAGCTTTTTCTCAAAGAGCTCCAAGGCCTGTCAAGGTTCCTCAAACAGCTTTCCCTTATCAGACAACCAGGCTTGAGCACAGGGAGCTAGGCTTGAGGCGGTGGGACAATAGACGCCAGGCCCTGACACTGGCATGTAAGACTCTTAAAGTAGCACTTCCATCAGCCTTCACACCTATGAGATTTACTCCTTGCTTGCTATACTATTTCTTCTCTATCCTTCTTCCTCCCAAGTTTTCCATTATTTTCTGGGCTTTTTTCCCTTCTGTCTCCTTTGTCTCGCTGTACATTCTTATTTAGTTATTCCACTTTTCATTTTTTTCAGTACTTTCCTTATGTTACCAACATTCATTCCTGTTTGTTCTCTTGTAACTTGCTGTTCTCCAGTCTTATGTACATCAAAGTAGGTAGAAACAGTGAATACACAGAGTAAATGTCATTTTATTGAAAATTGTCCAGGTAGACATTATAAGTGTATCCTAACATAGTCATCTAGCTTCCTTTGCAGTCAATGGAGAAAAAGACAGGAAACTCTGGAGAATGCTTCAGCTCATCCCAAGACAGATATCTAAAATAGAAGCTGTACTCATAAGGTGCCTAGCCTTCTCCACTGACTAAAAAGACAAAGCTAGACTATGAACACAACTAAATCTTAGTGAGATAAAACCTGTCTGTATATAAGATCTTCTCTGTGATTTACAGTTTACTTGCAGTTTTCAGATTAGGGCAAATATTTTCTCCCACTTGAACTAGATGAGAGGGCTTAGTTCACAGTAGTTTTTTCTTGAGGAGAGATCTGAAATTAGTGCTCAGGTTGCCAGACTGTAACAGAATAAAAAACCACCAGTCCTAGACATCCTATTAATAGCTTTATGGGCTCAAAAAGGCTTTGATATCTTCAGGAGGTATCTGCAAGGTGATTCCATAAACCAGAAGGAAGTATGGAGGTACAGGCCTCCTCATGGCAAGCTAGCTTTTTGATGCAGAATTCATAACACTGTGCAACAGCTGTAGCTGGAAAAGACAGGAAAATTAAGGAGGTGAGAAAGTTCCCAGGAGTACAGTCACCTAGATGACTTGGACAACTTGGTATTCTGGCACTACTCCTGTGAGTGATTTTCTAGTAGATTACATGAAAGAGGGAGTATATGATCACTGCTATACTTTAATATGAATTTTTCTTCCTTCATTTTTTCTGTTTGTCTCATTTTTTTATCTTCAGACCTGTGACCAGGAGCTGAGAACGGGTGCAAAGAAAGAACGATGCCTCCAGGGGAAAAGCCTACCTCTGTGTACACTTCTAAGTACTCTCCTTGGCTTTACACTGCTTATCATGTACATCATGATGACTTGTGGTCTAGGTATAATATGGGATATCATTTTCCTCATCCACCCCATTTGTAAGACTCCTTTCTCTCCTATCTGCATCTGTTGTGTATTAGGCTTAATATCTGTGTTACGAATCAGACTTTCAGAATCTCAAAGAATCATAACACCAGTTGTAAAAAAGGTACACTGTTCTGCCTCTTCCGTGGGTCATAAAGGGGAGATGTCCCCACACCTGTCCTCCTCCTCTGCCTGCCATTTAATATGCCTGGGCCCAGTTTTGAAAGAGACCATCATTATACTGTCTTACATCTCATCGTCATGTCATGCTTTGTCTGTAGTCACCTCCAGGAAACTGAACAGAATCTGAGATTTGGAGCTCCTCCATCTCTGATTTAGTAAGTCTAGTCCTAGTTTTCTAGTGCAGACCAGTTATAGTGTATAAAGAAAAGTCTTGGTCTCTTGATAATGGGGGAGCTGTGAGCACAGACCAGAAATATTAATTTGCCTTTCAAATTTGCTAAACAACTACCAGCAGAATGGTCCATGTAAATATTTATGCATATAGAATGCTCAGTACTGAGTGTGCATTTATATTGGTGGATACAGACATTCCCTGCTCCAAAATAAACATTACTGACTCTTCACCTAGCATTTTTCTTTAGCCCCTGTTATGTGTTGGAGACCATTCACTACAGAGACCAAGGAAAAACTGTTTAGATCTTGTCCATTTCCACTCTGCCTACCTCTTCCCTTGTCAGCTGTTGAAACCATAGTACGGAAAGTCTTACTTTGATTTTCAAATGGCTTATTTCAGTAAATAGTTGATCTGGTTTGATGTTGATACAAGACACTGAACCAAAATGAGAATATATACCCAGTGAATCACAGCAGTTTAGGTAAATGGAGTTTTAGATCAAAGCAAGATGTACTAGAAGGTCTTCGTCCTGTTTTAATGAATGTCATTGCTGAGAAATGTTTCCCATGCTTGAATATCTCCTTCCATCTTTTTAAATTTATGTCCTTATTTATTCTGTTCTGTGTCCTTTTGCTTCATGAATTGACACCATCAGTTGCTTCTTGTTTATCATTTGGCCAAATTTGGCTGATTCAGAGAAAATACACTGAGAAGGCAGAATAAGCCAACCTGTGACTGCCTAGATTGTATGAACAGAGGACACCACCTCTGGACTGATTACCTATCCTTTATTTAAATAATCTCCCTTATAAAGTGCAAAGGCAATCTTCCTGTGAAATGAAAGACAGAACACACTCAGCTTCAGTTTCAGCAAGAACTTACAAGGAACACAACACACTGCATTCAAATGAGTTTGTAACAAAAATAAATCTTTTGGGGTAAAGGTCCCACAGATAATTCCTCATTTTTTTTTTTTTTAACTGGAGTTGTTCTCACTCTCCACTGTCACTGCTCAGTTCTTTCCTATTTACTTCCTGCCCAGGATCCTGTGATGCCGAGCTGGGTCTTACACTGTTGGCCAGACTCCTGAATTCTAGGAATGACACTGTAGACCCCTGTGAGGATTTCTACAAATATGCCTGTGGCAGCTGGGAAGGCAAACACTCAAGCAAAACCTCAGAAGAATCACTAAATGTATTTGATGTGTTGTTGGAAGAAAACCAATTGATCCTGAAAAGGCTTTTAGGTAGGGACAGATGATTGGTGTGTTACTTTCAGCAGCTTCCTGAGTCAGAGCTGAGAATACTAATAACTGAGACCACAATCATTCCTAACAGGCTGAGGACAGTCTCTTAAATCTTCTGTCATTACATGTACAGATTTATTCTTGAGCATGTCATATTATAATAGCTGCATTTTAAATATTTTAGTTCTCTTTGCCAAGTGTAACAGATGAAAGTCCCACTTTAAAATTCTGACAGCAACTCAAACCATTTTCATGTTGCCTTATAGAAGTAGACCCTTTTTGCTGTGCCTGTCTGAGTGTGTACTCTTGTCATTCTTGTCACTCTTCAGTCTTGTGGAACTGAAGCCTAAATAGACCACCTTCCTGTTGTGCTTCTGTTTCCATGCAAAGGAACTCATGTATTGGCCTCAGGAAGAGTCATGGCACTAGAAGGTCTCTTGCTTTGAGTGACTGTGGGAAGTGTGGATGTATTTACTGAATTGTTCTGAATCAAAGTGCAGTGTAATGTTTTCTTACAACATTTCTCTGCTCTAATACTGCCCAACTTTTTTTTTTTTTTTTTACCACTTTTGTAGGTTTTCATCTATTTTTTTTTTTTTTCCTCAGAGGGCCCACAGTTAGGGATGAGAGGCTCAGCTAAGGAGAAAGCAATCCAGTTCTATCGCTCTTGCATGGATACCCAACAGATAGAATCCCAAGGAACCCAACCATTGAAGGATCTGCTAAATCAGGTGAATGTTTGTGCTGTTTCCTTTCCTTCCAGAAGATAATTCCTGCAGGGAAAAAGAAAGTGTGAGGTTAGGGTCAGATGGTCCTACATGATGACATTTTCCTAGCATTAGGCACTGAAAATAAGCTTATGGTTCACAGCACAACTTCTAAGAGATAAATCTTCTCGCTTTAAATGCTGTTTCAAGACTTGATTTTCCGACATCAGGTACATGAATCTTTCCTCATGATAGTATCCAACTTATAAAGCGGGGAACATCTTGCAAAACGGGTGAAAATTTTGTGTCTAAGATCTGATGTCCAGGCTTCTGGAGAGCTTGTTTAAGTAGGAAAATGCTTCTCTTTCCATTGTGGGAGATTCCCCTCAGTGCCAGGGAGTGTTGTACATCTTTCTGCCAGCAAAGTGCATTTATGCCTTGTCACCAAGGAGGATGCAGAACCTTCCAGAAGAAGGAAGAGTGACTGCAGTCTGTGCATCTGTGAATCGGCTTGTCAGGGAAGTGGAACATGTAATCCTTGATCCCTGATTGTCCTTGGCTTTAGAAAAATGAGACCCCTTTCTTCTCTTCTTCTGCTTTTTTCCTGTACACCTTGTTCTGTTGATAATTATAATTCCTTTTCCCCGTGTCATTTTGCAGTTTGTTACTTTGCTTAAGTGAAAGTGACAGATAATTTTAAAGCCAAAAGAGTATGTAGAAATCTTCACGAGTTTCCCCTGTTGCTATTTGCTTTGTTACTTCTCAGTTGTCACAATGACTGAGCTCATAAGAGTGAAAAAAAAAGATTTTGTAAATATGGATCAAACAAGTGTTTTTCTTGCCTGATGTCATGCTCTCTCCATCTCTAGGTTGGTGGATGGAATATCAGTGGTGTGGGGGAAACAAAAGATTTTAATGAAACTCTTCAGACTCTTATGGGCAGATACAGCACCTTTCCCTTTTTCAGAGTCCATGTGGGACCTAATCCTTTTGACCTCAAGACCAATATTATTCAGGTGAGTGGACTAAAGAAAGAAAATTATCAAGAAGCACTGGCAATAGAGTCAGTTGCACAAGCCTGTGAGAGCCAGGCTTGCTCAAGTCAAGTCTATATTCTTCTCTGAAGAAGGTTTTCCTAAATTTCAGTAAAGTTATTGATTTTATTACATAAAGAGCACTCATTTCTGGAAAATTAGCAGATGAGGAAGAATACATTTCTTACTTTCTCTCATCTCTTCTGCCTGACAGTGTAGATTGTACTTTGTTATGGAAGGGTCTGTTTTTTCTTGTGTTCACAGGTATGACTAGTACAATAAAGGACTCTAAGTGCTAAGTGTCTAATAGTGTGCTATGAATTTTGTAGCTCACTTGTGCTTTAAACCTGTAGGCAGCTAAGCACCACACACCTACTTGTTCACTACTCCACAGAGTGTGATGCGGGAGAAAATCAGAAGGGTAAAAGTATGAAAACTCATGGGGTGAGAAAAAGACAGTTTAATAATTAAAACTAAAGAACAAAAAAAGAAATGATACAAGGAAACCTCAGTTGCTCACCACCAACCAACCACTGCCCAGCCATTTCTCAAGCAATGCCAGCCCTGGCCAACCTCATTTGTCCCTACTTTCATTGCTGAGTACAATGTCATATGGTTTGGAATATCCCTTTGGTCAGCTGGGGTCAGCTGTCCCAGCTGTGTCCTCTCCCAGCTTCTTATGCACCCCTAGTGTGCTTGCTGGCAGGGCAGGGTGAGGAGCAGAAAAGGCCTTGACACATAAGCACTGCTCAGCAGTAACTAAAACATTCCCTTGTTATCAACACTGTTTTCATCACAAAACAGCCCCACACAAGCTACTATGAATAAATTTAACTCTATCCCAGCCAAAACCAGTGCACCGTGTAGAAATATTTAACATTCTGGTTTACATTTGAATATCAATCACAAAGATTTGTAATGAGCTTGTAAATGAGCTGCAGAATATGATAGATCCATAAGAATTACTTTTGTAATTTTCCAAAAGTAAAAGCAATTTATTAACACTTAAAATTTTGTGATACAGAAATTAAAGCCTGTTGAGCATATCCTCACATTTCCAGTGTTTCTGGAAATAGTGAGACGTTTTTCCTTTACTCCTTTTTGCAGATTGACCATCCTGAGTTTGAGATGCCATGTGAGAGTAAATTCAAAGAGAAAAATTATCCTGAGGTAAGATATAAGCTGCTGAAGAAAGGTAGAAATGGTTATTTGGTGTAGGGATCACCTTGAATTGCCTCTTGGTTCCAAGCGGTCTGTTTCCATGGATTATGGTCAGTGACCTCTGGAAATGTGTTCAGAAGGAATTCTTTACAAAACTCTTTACTCTTCCAAAAGATAGTTTGTAAAATTTAACCCATTTTTAGGTTTAAAACTTACAGTGTAGAAACAGAATGTTACAGTTTTAATTTCTATTTGCTAAGTAATCTGAACCTGGCTTCCCTCTAGGTTTCAACTTGAATGAATGTTTAAAAAAATGTAAGGCTTTATAACTTAAAATCTGTGTATTGGGGGAGGGGTAACTAGCAATTTTAAAGATATTTTAAAATATTTTAACCTGAGCTGGGGAAACAAGCTCTTTGACCTTGGGAGTTATTGCAACAAAGTTTATTTCATCACAGCTCTGTTGTTTTTCTGAACTTTATAAAAATTGAGTTGACTTTAGTTTCTCAGTCTGACTCTTTCAGAAGAGTCCTCCAAAAAATAAGCCTGTCTTCCTGCCGTAAGCATTCTTCTGATATCTCATGAACATAGAAGCAAGAAGTTGGCATTTTCTCTCCATCAAAAATACTGTCTCATCATATCACTACATCTCTCTCCTTTGACTCCAGAGATGGAAGCCTTACGTTGCTAAAATGATTCTGGCATTTAATGTAATTTTAAGCTGGGACAAAAATAACCTTTGGGGAATTCAGTGTTCTTCACTGAGAAAGGAGCTGTACTTGGCAAACTGTATTCCACATGATGAATTACATAAGGATGTTGCAGTGAAGAAGATGGTTTTAGAGACAGGGCTGCAATGCTTTTGAAAGGTTGACACTTATATGGTCAAGATGGATGGATGGATGGATGGATGGATGGATGGATGGATGGATGGATGAATGGGGTGACTAATTTTCGGTTATGTTTCTCCCACTGGTCATATGCTGTGTGTTGGAGGTTCTCCGTGTGTATCTGTCATATTTGAAGAAACTGGGGAGCCTACTTGGAAGACCACAGGATGGTCCCCCTGATTCCTTTTCCCTTACCTTGTCCTTCATCTCTAACCTCCAGCAAGTTGTCACCCCACTGCAAGAAAGACAGCAGAGGGGGATGCTGTTCTTTCGTACTACCATTAAGGAACTACAGGTATCTATGTCTTAGAACTTGAGCAACACAATTACATGTGACATTCACATTCTGAAGCTCCGGATCAAAAGAGATACTAGACACGCTGTTTAGATGCCATTCCCTTGCAACTTACACTTGGTGTCTGTTGAGCTTTAAATAACCTATTAACTTACAGTCTTTCATTGACAGCAGTTGGGTTTTTCAAGGCCCACAACTCTCCTCTCCCCAGTGCTAATTCAATAAAAAAAAAGTCAATTCTCCTTTTGTACTGTAATGAATACCCACATCATAAAACCACTTTAACTTGTTGAAAGTAGCTCTTAACAGTATTAGAGAGACTATCCCAGTTTTCCTATTATTTCTTGTCAGTCAGTTTAGATTCGTAGTTCAGCATGTAAGCTTTGTTTTACTTCTAGGAAAAGGCACCTGCTATTGACTGGCTGTCATGCCTCCAGGCTGTCTTCCATCCTATGGCAATGAACCTCTCTCAGCCAATTGCAGTGCATGACATGGATTACTTAAAAGGCATGTCACAGCTCATTGAACAATGGCACAAGAAAAGGTAGGAGTCAATATCTGTGGTTGTAGTTGTTCATGCCTCAAGAAATATTAACTTCAGATAGCATAAATAAAAGAGGTCTGTGTTAGAGGCTGCTGAGTCCAGTAGCTTAACAACTGCAAGGCTGATGTGGCTCCATATCCACAAGTTTAGCCAGTACTAAGGCTTAGCATATATTCCCAATGGGCTTGCACATGCATGCATCATATATGTACACACATAGAAAAATATATGTGTGTGTGTGTGTGTGTCACATCAAAGATGGAACACAGTGCCTTTAGTGGCACCCACCCACTCATAGCACTCATACAGACATGAACAGCTCAGACAGCCTGATCCTATTCCTTCTCTCCAGCTGATAAAGATTGGTTTATATTAGTGAAATATATATATGTACACACACACAATATGGATGACTCTAATAGCTGGTAGGCATTCAGTCTGTACAGAAGCTGACCCCAGGTCCCCTGGAGTTCACAGCTGCTGGCACCTGGATATATGATCCCCTGTGTCATGCAGCCCTGCTTTGGCTGCTGGTACTCTGGTCTCTTCCTGTCACAAACATGCATATGCAAGCAGATCTCTACAGTAGCTGGTCCAAACTACTAGTCTCTCCAACAGCCCGCTCTCAGACCCCTGCTTTCTCCAGCAGCTAGCTTGAACTAAAGTCCCTCCAGTAGTCAACTCAGACTCCTTCTTGCTCTAGTATCCAGTCCCATTCACACACCCACAGAGTATAAAGTTATTTAAAAATAGCATTTAGTAAGATAGGACAGATTCTGGTGACTGTGTGCAGGGCTCAGTCAGACAGACATCCTGGAAAGCCACAAGTTTATGCTTAACCATTCCCTCTTACCAGCTTTCCTCTCAATTTTCCCATGCGTATTTCCCCAAAACCACCATGACCTTTCTCGTTCTCTGACTTTGGTCCTTCCCATAAACATCTCATAATAAGTCTCACAGAATCCCACAGACCCCACCAAATATTCCATAATAGGTTTCACCCAGTCATAAAAATGCTATTTCTCCTGCTTCCCATAAAGTGCTGTGCCTCAGTAGGCAATTACCCCTTGAGTTTTCATGGTGTTCTGGGGAGAGAGCTTCTTTGGTTGAATCATGCAAAATCATCCTCCTTTGATAGCCCCAGGTGTAGCCCATTCAGAGTACTTTGTTGTCATTGTTCAGGTTACTAGGGTTCCTCTGCCTACAATTATTCTGACACTTGGCACACCTCTGTTTATAGTGACCAGCCTTCAATCTTCAGTCTTTTCAACTGTCATTTTCCTACAGGGTCCTTCACATTTATATGATTATTTGTCTGGTTGGGAATCTCTCCCCAGCCCTTGACAGACGATTCCAAGATGCACGCCTGGAGCTATCTAAGATTCTTTATGGAAAAATGGGATCTGGAATGGTGAGTTAGCCTTCTTCAGCCTCTCCAGCAGTGAAACACCCTAGGACATGTCTTCTGGATGTTCTCTTGATGCCTGGTCTGGATGGAGTTTCATATATTTGGGGAGGAAAACTACTCTCACTGTGCCTTTAAATGCTCAAAGAAATGTGGGAGTAGACATGATACACAATACTTTAGAGAGCTAAGTGCCCTGTGTCATGAGGTAGGGAACAATATATAGAAGGTCACCTTTCTTCTATGTATTTGTCTCAGCTAGCATATGAATCTTGATCTTGTCTGAAAGTAAGCAGAGAAAATCATCAGGAAATCAATGTTTTACTTGATTAAATTTTTCTGAGGTAGTTTAAATGGAACTACATTACTTAACATTCTCTGCTGTCATTTTTATATAGCGGCGTATATACTGCTGTCTACATTTTAACATATCTTTTTACTGTCTTCTCTTTCTCATCACTCTCATGTTTGTCTTTTTCTTTCTCTGTTCTTACAGATCCCAGCTGAGCGGTGGAGGAAGTGCTTGGCTGATACCAGCTCTTTCTTTGAGCCAGTTCTAGGGCAGATGATTGTGCAAGAAATTTTCCCTCAACAAGCCAAGAAACTTGTAGGTATTCATCCTCTTAACTCTCAAGCAGAGTTCAGCTTCATATCTTTTTTTGACATGCCAAGTTAAGACCTTATCAAGGCAGCAGAATCATGTGTAGGTTTTTTACATATTCCTGTATTTATGCACTGCACCTCCTTTTTTGGGAATGAAAGGTATCAGGACAAGACATTGCTGTCATTGCTAGAACAATCAGTGCTAAAAACATGAGTTACTATCTTTATCTCATCTGTTAGCAAAGTCATATGTGCAGCACCAATACCTATGACAGCCCTACAAATGCATGCAATCTCAGTGTGCTTCCTGTAACAACAATATTAACAGTATCCATCACCAGTCTGACATATTTAAATAAAATTTTCAATTACAAAGCAATTAAGCCAACATATGATCAGTTGTACAGAAACAAATCAATGCCAAAACATTCTTAATGGCTCTACAGTAAAAGGAACACCTGCCTGCAGTGTGGAAAAGATTTATTTTTTTTCCTTTGATGATCAGAGTTCCTTCTTCTTTTGGGGGGAGGGAGTTAGTGTAGGCACCAGATTTTATAAAGAGTTTGCAGTGTATACAGTGACAAGAGTAAATAACCCCAAGAAAAGTTAATGGGAAAACTAAGACTACGTACAATGAAGCACAAAGACAAATGAACAAAACATAATTTTGTGAAGGAGACACTCAGATTGCTGTAACTTTGGAAAGGGAGACACCAGCATAAAATACTTGTGAATAATGAATTTTCATTTCACTCAAGAAGTGTTGCAATCATTTGGTCCATTCCTATCCCAACAGGCATTGAATGAAAAAGAAATATGTTTCCCTCTTAGTTACTATGAGAGGCAATATGAAAAGGTGTGTGGGAGAGAATGGTGAGCCCTGAGGAACCAGTGGATGCCAAATAACAAGCCTAAATCATTGTAGAAACTGAAATCTCTCTTTCCTTGGAAGAACATGAATTTTCCAACAATTATTCTGTGGTTGAATTACTGGAACATGGGAAGATGATAGGTAAGCCTGAACAGTGTTCTGCAGTTCTCACTGTGCCATCTTTTCTCTGTTGCAGGCTGAGCAGATGTTCTCTGAGATCCAAGATGCCCTCTATGGCCAACTGGATCAAGTGGAGTGGATGGATGAACAGACTCGCCAAGAGGCTAAAGTCCTGGTGCGTGCAGAAGACAGACATTACTGAGACCTTCCTTTCCCTGAAGCCTTTGGAGAAGGCTGTACCTTCACATATTCCCATCTGTTTCTACAGGCACAATCTTAAATAGATGTTTTACACACACTGAAAACTAGGTGGTTTTATAAGTGCCATCATGCATGTGTGATCATTCATTGATGTGTAGGCATAGAGAGGCTCACTGTTTGTCCGTGGATACTCTGAATTAATTGTATTGATACACAATTCAGTTTTATACACCTAGAGAATTAAAAAAAAAAAAAAAAAAAAACTGAATGCCAGAAAACAATGCTATAAAGAAAAATAAGAGTAGAACAACATTAGTCCTCAAGTAATTGATTTAAGAAAGCAGAGTAGCAAGAGATGTCTTGCTGAAACAGAGCAGCTGTCATTTTGAAGGGCTGATTCACAGATTGTATTAAGGTTGTTTAGGAATAGAGCTTAAAAAGGGCTTCTAGAATGTAAAGCCTCCTATTGGTCATGTTTCTTTTTGTTCATTTGTTCGTTTAATATGATTTTAGGTTTCCAGACTTCACGTGGAGATTGGCTATCCAGCTCACATGCTCCAGACTGCCAAAGTGAACCTGGAATACCAGAATGTGAGCTATATAACGTAAACATGCCTGCCTCATAATTGGCAGTTTACCTGTACCAACTGCTATTTTGTCTGCAGCTAAAAGAGGCTATGACCTCTGGAGCAGTGCACATTTCCTGCTGTTCATTCTCTGAGAACATATGGTCCTCAAGAACCTTTATCTGTTTCTTCTATATTCTTGTCCATGCTGTCTTCTATTTAGAGTGTCTCACCTGATAGACAGTTTGTGGCCTGCTTGTATGTTCTGTTTGGCCTACAGATAACATTCCTGTCATACCTTAAATTGAAGGTCTTTAGAACTGGGAGAGAGAAAAATACAAGTATTCCATTGGTTTGTCTTTTGATTAACCCTTTTTTTGACCTGTGGGACTTTTCTCTTTCTCATACTGTAAAATTAATTCCTTGCTCATGCCTTATAATGGTCACATTACCTGTCTTTTCCCTCAGCTGGAGATAAATGAAGACACTTTTTTCCTCAATGTTGTGGCTTGCTTGAAAGTACTGAGGGAAAATTCCTACTTCAAACTCCTTCAGCATCACTCACAGGATAAGTAAGTGTCAGATACTGATCTGAAAAATATAACACACTCACGGACCAACTGAGGTTGGAAGGGACCTGTGGAGGGTTCAGAGCAGGATCAGCTAGAGCAGGTCACTCAGGACTTTGTCCAATTTTATATCATTGTATGTCTATATCTCTCTTTTACTGGGGAAGGAGGGAGAGGGAAGGCTGGGGGGCAATGAGGCGACCTGGACATAGTACTTCCAGATGTAGTTTCACCAGTCCTGAATAGAAAGGGCATAACCACCTTTATTGACCTGACAGTGACACTTCTAATGCAAGAAAAGATGATATTGTCCTTCGCTGCAAGGCTGCATTGCTGCATCCTGCTTTAAAAAGCCTTGAATTTGGCATCCTGTTTTGTATTTAGTCTGAGCTCATGCTACCAAAAAACCCTACTGTTATGAAGAGACTCTCAGACCCCTGAGAAAAGAACAGTTTTTGCCCATGAACCCTTGAGTAAGGGGGATAGCTGTTTCTCCTGGACTTAGTGGCAAAGCAAACAGCAAACCACTGTGATGATGTGAATGCTAACAGGGTCACCTCAAGGGCAGGTCATAGGATGCTTCAGAAGGTGGGCAGCATTGATAGGCATGCTTGGGACTTTACACTGCCTGAAGAATATTCTATGCAGGCCTTCACAGGAGGTTAGTTAATTCTGACTTACTTGACAGGGAAATTGTGAAGGTGAATCCCTTAATGTGTATGAAAGATAAGCTGCTAACTCTGACACATGAAGTTCTATTTCAAACACCTTTAACTCTAGGTAATGTAAATTTCATCATTTGCTGCTGCTGTATCAACAGTTGTACTGAGCAGACTATTTTTGCAAGCCCAGTGGGGGAAAGGAGGAAAGTGTGAGATAAGGAGTTAATATTTCTCTTTTTCTGCTTCTAGCTGGCATGTGTCACCCTGGACTGTGCATTCATACTACTCAGTAAGGCACCATGCAGTGGTCTTTCCTGCTGGAATGTTCCGCAGCCCTTTTTTCCACATGGAGTTTCCCAGGTATGGAGGGGCTGCAAAGGTGGAAGCTGAATGTAGTCCCTTGGCTGCACCATGTTTCCAGGAAGAATCTTAATGGATCTGTCTTTAATGTCTTTCTTACCTTTTCCTCTGGTCCCAGAAAAACACAGTAAAGGGGGATGAAATAGATTTTTCTAAAGCCAGATGGATACTGCCTTATAAATTCTGAAAGGGTGTGATCATTGACTCTGCTGGAGCAAAATCAGAATCTAGGTGAAACTAAGCCAAGCCAAGTATATTACTCCAGAGCAAAGAGGTAGAAGTCTCATGTAGGTTAACTGCAAAGAAGACATTTCACCTTTGCATCTCATTTTCTAGATTCCAACAATTCCTGAAATCTAACCCATAGAAATTTAACCCAGAGAAGTTGCCTCACAGAGCAACTTCTTGTCAGAAGTATTTTTCAAGTGGATCAAACACAGTTCTTCCTTTCCTGATTTTTAAAGAAACCTTCTTTAATAAGCAAATACAGTGTTAATTCTGAGTCCTCCCCTGCAACAATGACACTTCTTTAGACCATACTCTTATAGTTGGGTTCTTTCATCAAATGGAACAGATGTGTTAAACAATATTTTTCTGATATTAAAAGTACTTAAAACACTTGACTGTAAAAATATTATTTGATGTCCCTTTTTGCATGTTAATGAATAGATACTTCTCCTAATCTGATTGTACTGAAAGATAAGATTGCACTGTGACAAGAAGCTGAAGTTTGAGAGAAACATATCTCAGTTAAAAGGAGTTGTTCCGTGGTGATCTTCTACCACTATGTTGTATGACATCTTCTTATGCTTGCAATATTTCATGAATTCATTGTAGTATGAAGAAGAGGACACCCCAAAAGAATAATAGAAAAAAAAATTTCCAGTGCTCTGGGCTCTCACTTACCACTCTGAAAAAGTGTCTACAGCTTCTTATTCCTTTTGACTTCAGTGTTAGTAAAATATGTTTTTCTCACTGTTATCCCAGTTGAGTAGACTGATAAGTCAAACTTGGTTGGCTTTTGATGAGTTGGTACAATAAGATTTTCTCAGATGATACTCCAAAATTTAGCTTTATTGACAAAAGCCAATTCAGATGACTCTAAGGATAATTTTTAAAATAAGAAGTCATCAAAGCAGTACAATTGTTATAGAACGATAGAGTGGTTTGGGTTGGAAGGGACATTTAAAGATATGTAGTCTAACTGCCCTGCCATGGGCAGGGACATCTTCCACTAGATCACGTTGCTCAAAGACACATCCAACATGACCTTGACACATCTTCTCTGGGCAACAATTATGTTATCAGCTACAGAGCTCCTGAAAGAGCAGTTCTAAGAGAAGATGAGTTGTTCTGTTCTTATCACTTCCTACTGAGTTCCCAGTGATGTAATGATTACTACAATCATTTAATGCTTCAGCAGGATTAATCAGTGCATGTAAAGAAAGAATGAGCCCATCATTTCATATGATGGAAATGTATTTTGAGTGTACTCTTGTGTGACGATTTGTAAATTCTTTGCACAAAATCATAGAAAATCTGACTGAAAAGAACTACTGGAGGTCTCTAGTACAACCTCTTGCTTATAGTGAGATCACCAGCGCTAGACCAGAGTCATTGTAGCCAAACCCTCCTGATTTTAATTTGCCTTGCCTGTTTTATGTATAATTTTTCGCTAGACAACTGTTGTAAGACTGCTTCTCCAATCATCCTGCTTTTGTATGATTACCATTGCAGTTACTGTTTGTGCAAGCAGTTCAGCCTGTAGTGGGTAAATAAGGACGTATTTCAACAACAATACATGTCATTAGAGTTAATAAAGGTGGAATCTCATTCACAGACTCTTAATTATTATGATGACTTATTAGCTATGAATACTTTAATGCAAGCCCGTAGTACAATTTTAAGCATTGGTAGGGTGATTTACACTTGCATTCGCATTTTTACAGTGTGCTACATTTGAGAGACTATAAAGTGCTTCTGTGTGCTCTCAGAGTAGAATGCTCCTGTGCAGACCACCGTTGTGCTCAGTGGCTATTAAGAATTCTCATCTCCGTCTTTTTCTTTACAAAAGCACTCTTTGCATGTTTATTTTTCAGTGCTGTGAACTTCGGAGCCATTGGGGTCTTCATGGCACATGAACTTCTTCACGCATTCTATGGTTATGGTGCGTATTGGCTGTGCTGTCTGTTTACTGTTCTAGGTCCCCACTGGTACTTTCCCTCAGGGAATCTTAAATCCTGGTCCCTATATCAATGTGTACATATACTTTTAAAGTAGATGAGGCTAAGGAAAACCTATTCCAGGCCATGTTGACTCCTAAGAAGATTCAGTGGGGAATGTGAAGAATACAGGTGAATGCCAGAAATACCTTTACTTTGTAGGATTGTTTTCCCCACAGTGCTGCCTGAAGGCTGTCCTACATGCAACAGAAGTGCACTACAGAAATCTATAGACTGCTTGGTTGAACAGTATGAAAGTTATGGCTTTAAAGTCAATGGTACTTTTACACTGTTGGAGAACACAGCTGACACTGGAGGGCTCACCATCGCTTACAAGGTATTGTAGTCTACTTCTCTAATTTCATAATCTCACCACACAACTCAACTGCCATGTCCAAGATTGCTATGCTGCACCCCTCTCCTACATGCTGCTCCAGTTCCAGATTTCTTGCATTCCTGTGCCAGTGTCCTCTGCTATGCCAGACATAGGTTCCTCACAAACCTCACTACTTTCGTGTAAGACCACTTCTGCCCTTCACCAATTCTTGGGTGGGCCTTTCTTCCCCATTTATGTCATTCAAACAAAAGCATGCTGTTATTTATGTGTTTATATTATACTTGAGGAACTAAGCTGAGTCTGAATCAGAATTCTGTGTGGTGGGGTATGATTCCATAATGATGTTTTCAGCAATATTTTAGTCTAGAGAGAATTTTTTATTTCCTCATGCAAGTAGTTCAGCAGTTTAATTAATTACTGAGTGCAGGGTTCTCTGAAATCTCTAGGTCTCTGACGGTACTTGTTACATCCTTGCACAAAGAATGTTGAGATGTAGAAAGTCTTTTGCTTTTTATTCAAATATTTGTGACTTTCTTTGAAAGTAATTTTCATTCTTTCATAGTGCAGTCACCACATATTCTCTTATGACAATGTGTGCGTGGTAGTGTCTGAAATGGGAAGCAAAGGAGTTACATTGTTGTTCTCCAGTCTTACTGTTATTAGGGGCATGGCCAGCAGCAGGGAGCCTCAGAGTGAGAAGAGAGACACAAACTTGGTAATTTATTAAATGTGTATTATATTGTTATATTTCATTGACAGAAGACATGGGTTTGGGAAACTATCTGAAGGGGGATTTATTATTAATAATTTTCTCTCTCCACAGGCCTATAAGAATTGGCTGAAAAAGCACAAAGAAGAGAAGGATTTAGCTAAGATTGGACTTTCACACGACCAGCTTTTCTACTTCAGTTTTGCTCATGTAATGAATTCTCGGCTAGTCATGTGTATCTCTCAATTGTCTTCCACATTATTGTAGTTTGTCTTTCTCAATATTCAATCACTTTTCCCCCCCTTCACAGAACTGGGTATGACCAATGTTTCTGGGAGATTCAGAAATTAGAAAGCTAAAATTCACATATAGGGCCCCTAACCTGTTATGGATCTCAAAGCTAACAAAAGGCCTGCCAGCAAATATATCTTATAAAAATCTACCAAAATTAAGTTGTAGTGGACAGGTTGTGTCAGCGAAAGCATGATTCATTTCCAGCTTCCGACTACTTCTTTGCTTTTGTGAGCAGTCTTACACATGGAAAGTGGAATTTTACTGGAAAAGGCATATACCTCTCCATCTTTTCCTTCATCTGCCTCTCTGTCATGATGAATAAGTAGATGTCATTCTGAGTGACTGATAGTGAAAGAGTTTAGGATGTTATTAAGAGATAAAGAACTAGAGGTACATGTGAACATAGTTTGAGATTTCTGTGGGAACCTGGTTTAAGGATTTGTGCAAAGTTGCGCAGTTGTTCATAGTTGTGAAGTTGGGTTCCTTGTGATAGATAATTGGATTTCCGTGCTTGGAAAAGTCATGCCCTTATAAGTCACTATAATTGTACAAAGGGAAAAATTTTGTACATGTATTGACATTAGGTCAGAGCAGTGTGTAGAAAAGCAGTTCTGAAATCACAGATTATTGGGTCTTGGTGGCAAGATTTGCATGTCAGAGGCTATCTGGCAGCTACTGCGTCATTTGTCAATGAGTAAAGACTGAAAGACTTGGATTGCCAGTCTAACACCAGTGATGTCACGTAACCTTTCCCCCAATCTCTCAAGTTAGTAATGGGATGTTGTGCAAGTGCTCTACTTTCTTGATGAGCACTCATTGCTTTTGCTTATGAAGCTGAATCTAGACACTGAGATTAGATCTATACCATTATTTTAGATGGAGTCCAAAGTTGCGCGAGTATAAATTCCCTGTGTTCTGGACTATGCACTATAGAAAAGAGCAGACTGCTTCTCAGATAGGGAAATTGGGACAGAGAAGATTAGGGGAAAGGAAAACAGTCAGAAATTGTGGTGGTGGAGAGAGATATGAACACTGTTGGCACCCATTTAAGTGTGTTTCCTTGCTTACTCTGGCAGCCTCAGTCATGTGTGCAGAGGCATATGAGGAGCCTTAAGTCTTGTTGTTCACATAAGGACTTTCAGCCAAACTGACTTCTCTGTTTTGCTTCCTTTCAGTCAATGTGTGGACACCAGGATCCTGAGAAACTACAGGCTTCCCTGAACACAGATCCACACAGTCCCTTGTCACTTCGTGTCTGTGGGCCTGTCAGCAATAGCCAGGACTTTGCCAAGCACTTCCACTGCTCCAGTGGATCCCCAATGAACCCCTACAAAAAGTGCCACATATGGTAATCTGCATGGAAATGGAAGAAGAGAGATATGACCCCAGGGAGAGGAAGGCCTGACACATGAACGTATGACAATCTTCTCAGGGCTCCTAGGGTGACATAGTGCTCTTATTCATCCCTCTACCTTCTTTTTCTTGTTATCCTTTCCTCATCCATCGTTGGTAGCAAAATTCTTAAACTGAACTCATAAGGGAAGAGGGTCTCCTCCTACTGCTTTTAGCATTCTGTCCCAGATGCGATAACTCGGGTTTAGCAAGTCCTACAGTATCAAGATGACTAACCAGTCTCCAGTAGGCAACAACTTCTGAGGCACTGTAAACAGGAGGACTGTTACATTATTAGTCCCTCTGTTCAGTGCATTTCCCTGTTTGCTCCAGCAGCCTCACAGTCACGTTGAATGGACAGGGCAGTACGTTGGAGCTGTGAGACTTGGTCATATAAGATTAGCTCCATGTGAGTAACTATGAAAACCACACATGCAAGTTACCAGAGAGGGAAGAATCCTCTTCACTTCTGCCAATAAAGGCAGATAGCTACTAGGAAAGACTCAGTGGCTCCAGCTTCTAGGCTGAAAGATAAGTCAGTTAATAGTGAAAGTTACTGTTCTGCTTTTGTTTCAACAACAGAACTCCTAAGAGACAAGAGGAAAGCATCTCCATTGATGTGAGGGGAATTGAGACCTGAGAAAAGATTCTCTTTCTTCTTTTTTTCTTTTCCCACAAGATTCTCTTTTTTTTTAGTCTTTATTTAGGGATGAGGATATGGTTGAGGGTGGAGTATGGGACAGTCACAAGAGTTTCTAGAAGTCTCTGAAGACTGAATAATTAGAATTCCAAGAACCTCCCTGGATCCTGAACTTGGTTCTCTCATCCCTACATCTGTAAATATGTACCACCCAGAGGAGCAGAGCTGCTGTAGGATTTTACTTCCTACTTGAAATTGAATTTTAGATGTTAATTTAGAGGAAAAAAAGAGTAAGAAGTACTATGTTGTAGGGTTGCAGGAGAAGTGCTTAAAGCACTTTCTCAAGAGCAACCTAATAATTACATCAATTTCACATTCTGATAATTAGAAAATTTATACCAATGTTCTAAAATATAACAAAGTTAGTAAGTATACAAAATAATCCTACATTTTGCATTCAAACCCGTTCTTGATTATGGGAGCATTTTTATTTTACTTATTATATTGGCTTCCTGGAGATTGTTTATGGAATAGGTGATGGCAAGCAGAAGCATCCCTTATCAATGTAAGCATTGTAAAAATTGTGATAATCCTAATAACTGTGTTAATCCTTTCTGCGTACTGACCAGCAAAACAAAGTATTTTCCAAGAACAGACTGTTCAGAGATTTTGCTTCCATTAATTAACTAAAATATTAATAAAATATTTGCTTCAGAGAAAAAAATTACTTTGATTGCCAAGTCTATATGACCAGGCCTGTTTCTTTGTTCTGTATTTGTACTGTTCCCAACTTACTGGAGTTGTTAGCTGAACTTCACAAGTAATAAATAATAATACCTTGGAATATTTGTATTTATTTACACATAATAAGAAATAACAAATTGGGCTTGTGCATATCTTTACCATTTAAAGAGTGTATACTTTTCATCCCCTCGTTTAATCAGTTTTGTCCTAGCAGCATGTCTAGACTGCCTTTCTTTTAGATACTACTAGCAATTAATGTTGTACCAGACTTTGCGTAATATAGAAGTTATTTCAGTGTACTGAGACTATTTGACTTATTTGTTTATAATTTATGGGAAAAGCAAAAGCCATTGGCAATCTGCATTTTGAGGAATCTTTACCTTTTCTTGTATCTATCTTGTTAAGTGTATGGGGGTGACAGTTCCCTGAAATGCGCATTTTTTTCTTGTTCTTACAATGTATGATGAATTTATTAATATTCTGTTTAAATGACAAGGTCACCCTTGAGTTTGGCAAGTTGAATCAGTTCTTGTTTGTTACTAACTATGATGTTTTTACACAAAGAACATATGGGAAATGCAAGAGGGGTTGGTCTGTCTTAGAAAAATGTTGCATGAGTCTTGGACTGAGAATTTATTGTGTTCCTCGAGGAGAGAAGGAAACACTTTCAATATATGCACAAGGTCCCTGCCCTTTTTCTCAGTGTTGCAATTTCCCTGGGATGTGGTTGGTGAAGAGGAGCCATTCTGTCTAGCAGGTGATCATGAAACACAGGTAGATGTTTGAGTTGTTGTCATCCATGACCATAGAAATTATTTTATGCTTTATGCCACACACACAAAAAAGAGCACAACGCTGCCAGCGTTCAGGGAAAGAAACAGATCCAGCAGCAGATCCTTCACCGCTGAATTCCTCAGGCTCGGTGAGTCCTCATGCTGTACCATGTTGATCACCTCCATTCCTTCTCCTGTTGACGAGGCCACGAATGTTTCCTCCATTTGCTCCCAGCCTGTAACTTGGGGTGGGTGGGGACAACATAAGCTTTCTTCTTGTTTTCTTCTTTCGTACTTCAAACCTTTTCACCTCTGCTTTCCATCCTCTTTTCTCTCCCTGCTTTCTGAACTTTCAACTCCATTTCACCCTTAGTGTCTGTCCATTTTCATACTAAGCAGCTTTTCATTCATACCCCTTCCCACTCTCCACTTCCCTTGCCTGTCTTGTTTCTATTTTAACTCATTCAGTATATATTCCTCTATGATCACCCTCCCCATGCGAGAAGGCCAGAACTATTTCTCTTGTTTAGAGCAAAGAACTTGTTTATAGTAGAATCCTAGTTGGTTAGCATGTTCCATTTGTATTTTTTTTCTTTCACTCGCATAGTTTAGTCAATTGCTAGGCAGAATAAATAACAAGATATTTTGTAATATAAAACTTCTCCCTGAGGAATTTAAGTAGACCTTGAGGTGGTTTGTTAAGCTTCCGGAGTACCCCTGATAACAGGGGCCCAAGATGCCAGCATCAAAATAAGCACCTGCAAATTAGTTAAAACTGACCTTCTTGGAGCATCCCAGGGTGGAAGAACAGATGAGCTAACTACACAACCATGTATGAGCAAAGGAAAAGCAAAGTTCAATCAACGGACACTGTGAGGAAGACTATGAATGACTACCAGAGGGGGGAAAGACCCTAACCCTATTTTTATCACACATGCTCAGACTATGTAAATAAGTTCTAGGAAATTTTATGTATATGCAAATTAGTTCTCAGAAATCCACTGAATATGTATAATCTCACAGCATATATTCTCTGTGATTTTACCTGTCTGTTGGAACACTTGTGGTGGAGCAATCCCCAGCGCTGCGCAGCGCTGCTAATACCTACTTAACAGTTATATTGGACTCTAACTGTTGAGTGAATTTCTGTGTTTCGCCCATAACATCCTCATAATTACCAAGTGTGTGTGCTGGGTTTGTGTGGCAGGTTTTTTTGGTAGAGGGAGAGAGGGCTACAGTGGTGGGCTTCTCGAAAACTCCCTTCGCTCCAAGTTGGACCTACCTCTAGACAGGTCTGAGCTAATTAGTGATAGTGGCTGTGCTTCTGTGATGATGTATTTAAGAAGGGGAGCCTGGGACGAGGAGTGGGAGTTGTGAGGAGGAGTTGTGAGGACAACATCTGTGCAAACACCGAGGTCAGTGGAAGAAAGGAGGAGGAAAGAGGAGAGGCACACTGGAGCAGAGATCCCCCTGTATCCCATGGTGAGACGGCAGGGCTGTTCCCCCTGTCACCATAGAGGTCACCGGTGGAGGTTAGATCCACCTGCAACCTGTGGAGGATCCTACATTTTAGCAGCTGTCTGCACTTCAAGGAGTCTTGGACTCTGTGGGAAGAAGACCCTGCTGTTGTAGTTTGGCACTGGGAGGACCACAACAAGCTGGGGGGGACCTGCACTGGAGAATCTTAGGAAGAATGTGTCCCGTGGGAAGGACTCAGAGAAATTTCATGGAGGACTGTCTCCAGTGAGAGGGACATCATGCCAGAGCAGGGGAAGAATATGGAGAGTTCCCCCCACACACACCTTGAAGAGGAAGAAGTGGTGGACTGATTGGTAACAAAACTGAGCACTGGAAGAAGGGAGTGGTGTGGGGTAGAGTTTTTAAGATGTGGTAATACTTCTCCCTGCCTCACCATGTCTGTTAAGTATTGTTTTTGCTAGCGTTTGAATTAAAGTTATGGTCTTTTTTCCTTCCCCTAACCAGTCTGTCTGTCTTTTGTCCATAACCTTAATGGGTGAGTCAGCCTCCCCTGTCCTTATCTTGATTCCCTAGCCTTTCGCTTTATTTTCTCCTACCCATTCCTGAGGGGGAAGCAGTGAGTAAGTGGCTGTGTGGTGCTCAGTTGCCCTCTGGGCTCAAACTGCAGCAGTGTGGTTTCCTGATGTGTAATGGATATGAGTGTGCAAATCTGGCCTAAACTTCTCTCCCTTTGCCTTCCTCATTGCATGCAATTGGAGCAGGGTAGTAAGTGGTCATCCAGGAAAAGGAGACCATCATTATTGTTATTTTACAAGGGGAACTAACACACAGAGAAGCAAGGCATTGGAAGAACTGGAGACTGGAATCTGGACTCCTGTAGTTTGACACTTGCAGTATTTTTTCCTTTCCCTTCTTTTCTCAACACAGTCTTTCCCATCATCTTGTTACAAATGTGTCTTTCTTCTACTGATTTTCTCTTCCCTCATTTTGTCAGTCATGAATTTGACCACTTTCCCCACTTATTTCTCAACATATTTCATCCCTGACTGTTGGCTCTCTTGCTTTCTCTCTTCCCATGCTGGCTCTACTTCTCAGACTTGTTCAACCTGAATTGCTGCACTTTGCTTGTTTCCTGGGTATGCTGTGACAATGTCTAATTTTTATTGATTTCATTGCTGCATAACAGACAGGAGAGAAGTATCCAGTAGAACAAAGAGACAGAAGGAGGGAAGAAGAAAGAGAAGCATGGCTCAGACACTTCCCAGGACACTTGAGTGGGCAGTATGCCACAAACTCCAATTTTTTTTTTTTTTTTTTTAGAGAGAGACCTATTTTCTGGTTAAGAGGAACTGATTACTTCAGAAAAGGTGCCAGATCTTAACATGAGCCACTGTTCCAAAGATAGCAGATCAGGGTCAGAAGCCATTGTTTTTTGCAGTGCACAGCCACTCATTTTTTTTTCAGGAATTAGGGGCAGTAATTACTGACTTGCCACAGGGCAATTTAAGTTGTTTTTGATATTGCTCTCTGAAGCAGCATGATTTTTAGAGGGAGTTGTGTGTTAGGAATACTTGCTTCTTATTGCACATAGGATCCAACTCTTGCCTCTAAGATTCTTACAGGACTTTTGGCTTCCTGGTTCTACCACACTGTGAGGTAGCTTGGCTTGGAACAAAGTGCCTGATTCCTTATGGCTCTCTTTTGAGAAACCAACAGTTTCTGGGCAAAGTACTTTACTATTAGACTACATCCCATTGAGTAATAGTAGGAGAGGTAGCAGGAGAAAGACTGCAACCACGGTAGAAAATGTGACTGCCTCCCAAAATGAATATCAGAACACTGTACAAGAGTACAGAGTGCAGTGAAATATTGATGTAAGTGCATTGGTTATATTAATAAGAGAGTTCTTGCCTGAAAAAGACCTTCTGATTTTTTTTCTTTCAGAAATCACTTTCTCCTCACTCTCCTTCATGTCTTCCTTTTCTCCTTTCCTGTACTTTTCAATTATGAGTCATCCCAGACTCATTCTTTTATCTTTTGAAGTCCATGACTGCAATAATAGGCCTTAGTGGTCCTTACTAGCCTCAGCTGCAGACTTCACCCCCATCCTCTGCCCATTGGTCCAGGAGCTTAATTTAAGCTCAGGCCTGGGTCTCCAGGCTCTATTTGTGGTCTGTTGCAAATATCCCTATCTCCAGTTCCAGCTCCGTCACAGCTCTGCCTGGCCATGGACCCAGTTATTCTGGATCTTGACCTACAAATTGACTTCCTGGTTTGAACTTCAATATGGCTTATCACTATGGACTTGCTTGGCAGTCATGGAACTGTGTCTGACTCTAGTTTCTTTCATTGGATCTGAGCCTGACCCCAGCTTGCTGGCTTTTATTCCTGGCCTGACTCTTGATTATGGACTTACCTGATGATCTGTATTCTTGACAGAATAACTACCTATTCCTGCCTATAATTACCTAACTACCATCCCCGAGGCCTGCCTTTCTTGCCTTGCTCTGGGCCTGTGGGGACTGGGCCCTGGCTGGGTGAAGCCCCCACCCTGCCAGCCTTGCTGAGCAGACACTTGTCTGCTGGCTGCCTGTCCCTTAGAAAGCAGCTGGAACTCACTGCTCCCTGAAAGTTGACTTGGGCTTTCTTGAGCACTGAGGTGAACACTGTGGAGCTGGGCCCAACACTGAGCGGGGCCTACGATCCTTTCTGAGGCACCAGCCTGGCCCTGGGTGCTTCCCCCAGGATTCTGGGTGAAGCCCCCCGCCCTTCAGGCTGCCCAGCCTCTGGTGCTCCCCAGGGGTGGCCTGGACCTTTATTTTCAAGCCTGCTGAGCTTCCAAAGCTCCTCATGGGCAACCTGACCCACACCCTGCCCCCCTTCCCCAGACTTCAAGTCCCCCATATGCCATGCCCATTTCCCAGCTTCTCATCCCTTTCCCGGCTCTTTACCCTTGAAAATTGCCCTGTGGCATCCCAAATCACTCTACAGCATGTCCAGTCTGAACCCAGATCTCCTTAGGGTGTGACCTGCTGAGTTGGGAGGCTGCAGTGAGGGCCATGAGCGAACTCAGGGCCTCCAAGGGCCCTGACCAGCCTGAGCTTGTGCTTCCTTCCACATCCTCTGCCCCATTTAAGTGAAGGGCTTGGCAGTCACGGGGCTCTGTCTGACCCTGGTTACTGACACTGAGTCTGATCCTGACACTGACTGGCGTTCTTCCTTGAACTTAGACCTGTCACATCATGATG